ATTATTTAAATTCTAAATTAATGCCGAATAATGCTAGATTGAGATCAATTTTAGGCTGATTTATGATTATTTAAGTTTTGAATTGATGCTGAATGATGCTGTATTGAGGTCAATTTTAGGCCAATTTATGTTATTTAAATTCTGAATTAATGCCAAATGATGCTGAATTAAGGTCAATTTTAGGCTAATTTATAGTTGAATTTAAGTTCTGAATAGCTATGTCTGATTGGAGTCGATCAGAATCTATTAGTATTGCTAAATTGAGACCAATTTTAGGCTAATTTATGATTAAATTTAAGTTCTGAATTGATGCTGAATGGACCATATCTGATTGGAGTCAATGAGTATCTATCAGCAACTATTTATGCTAATCAAAAAATATGGCAAATTAGCCATAAATAGTATCAAAATCAGCCTAAAATCAGCCATCCAATTTTTAGTCAATTTGAACTATTTTGACCAGTGATAATAGTCCACAAATTTTTTATTAGATTTAAGTCAAGACTATTTAAGAACTAATTCATAACTTCTGAAATATTATTTTAAAGAAAATTCTTAGCAAGAAACTTATATATTTTGAATCATTGTTTTACTAAAGATGCTAATCATTTTCAAATATTTTCATCAATTTCTGAAATATGATTCTTTAGAATTTTAGCATAAAATTTAATATTCATTATTTGGTAAAAGCAAATAAATTTGTTTTACTTATAATATAAAACTTGTTTTATGTAAAAATTTTATATTGTTCTTTAACATAAAACATATCAGCTGAATTCTTTTGTACTAATGATTTATTATATTTCAGAAGAGTTAAAAGGCTATTTCATTTAAAAATAAAGTTTTGTTTCAATTATCATTAATATATTACTGCACTTATTTGACCTATTTTTATTTATAGATAGCAGTTAGCATTAAAATCATCCTTAGAAGAATTTTTTATAACCATAGATGGTTAAATATCTTGAAATTGAGTAGAATACTTTAAGATCTTGCTATTCTAATTTTTTGCCAAAATCCTTGTTAGTATTAAAGTATTTCTTCAAATTCTTTATTCAAAAAACTTGAAAAATTTACTGGTAATCTTTCTTAGATAATCACTTCTTTTTTTTAACTTACTATATTAATATTATTATTTTTTTAATATTATCATATAGTGAAGAGAGGAATCTTTATAATTCTATGTAATTCAGATTCTTTGCATATACTCTCATTTTATAATTGTAATATAGTCTGATCAATATTTATTTTTTACTGTTTGGCTTGTGCACAATATATATGATTAAATTTTTTTAGAAAGATATATAATATACCATACAAAAAAATTTTATATATGCAAATGATGCAAATAGTTATGAGCAGTTCTATACAATTATGCATAGTTGCTACACAGTTATGAGCAGTTCTATACAATTATATATAGTTACAAACAGTTGTAAACAATTCACACAATCTTATAATAAAAATAATTTTTTATAATAATTTTTGATAAAACAGTTATTATCAATCTTTTATTATTTATGTAATAAAGTTACTTATATAATTTAAATTATTTTTCAACTGTTTTCACATAAATGAATCTTGATTTTTTCTACTTTTTTTAATTTTATATTTAATTTATTAAATAAAACAATTTATATTTATAGTTAATATATTTTAATTAAACTGGTAATAATATTTTACAGATCATATAGCACAAAAAAAAAATTTTTTAAATTTTTTAAAGTATATCAAAGATCATTTCATGAAATATGTTTTATAGCATTAATTTTATACTAATTAAAAAAAGATTCAGTTAGAATCTTGCATTCAAATCACTTTTTCATAAAATGAAAAAATACTTTCTAGTATAAATATTTGAAAAAATAAACAAAATAATCTGAGCTTAATAAAGCTTCATTAAGTAAAAATTCAGATTCTTCGATACCATTTAAAGTAAAATATCATAAGAATAAAAGTAGTCTTAACTTGAAATAGATGGATAATAAAAATGATGCTTGGTTAGAATATAGAGATATAGATGGAATAATTTTTATATTTTATAGATGGTGTGAATAAAAAAAATATACCAATGAACTTGCAAAAGAAACAAGTAATTATTGAAAATAAAGTATTGATCGATATCTTAATCATCATGAACACAAAGGAGAGGCTAAAGCAAGAAGAAACCAAAATATTATAGTATTTGAATTTTCACATTAATTAGAAAATTATAAAATTAAAGTTGTATCACAAATGCAATGTATATATTTTTTAGCAAAAAAATATTTAGATCTTTCTATATATCTCGATTTATATCAACTAGTAAATTTTCACAGAATAATTCTGAAGTTATAAAACTTTGTGATACTTCTGAAGCAATAAAATTACCATCACTTCTCTCAAAAAATTTACCATCAGAATCAAATGCATATAGTCGCATTTATCAAATACATCAACCAAAAAAATTGAAGAAGCAATTATGTATATAATTAAAAAAGTATTATATGAAGAAATTAGAAATTCAAATAATTGGAGTATTATGATTGATGAAACAAATTCTATTATAAATGAAAAACATTTACCATAAACGGTTGACTAAAGTACCCTATGGTATAATATCCTTTTCATAAATCTGGTCTAAAAGACCCAGGTATTATACATAAGAACTTTGAAAAAAGTTTATAATACCTGGGATATTATACACTGATTATTTTTTTATATACTGTAGCATTTATATAAATTGTAAAAAATATCAAAATTTATTATAAAATCCAAAAAAAAAATACATCAAATTAATCTATAAATTATCTTCATTATCATAATCTATTTCTTGTTTTTTATATTCATTTATATCATCTGTATCACTATTATGACTAACTTCTTCTTCATCATTACTTTGATTTTCTTTATCATCAATATGAATTAATTCAGTTTTTTTACTTTTTTTCTTTTACAAACTATCATAATCAAATACCAAATCATCTTCAATACTATTTCTAGTAATAGAAATACTACAACATTTAAATGATTTTTAAATTAAATTAATATCAATATTATTTCATGATCTTTTTACCCAACTAGCAATATTAGCATATGAAGGTTTTTTGATTCTTCCTGAAGGTGTTAATTTACAAATCTCAGAACTCATCTAATCATTGTAATATTGACGTAAATTTGCTTTAAAACTTTTGTTAATTGCTATATCTAATGGTTGTAATTTACTTGTAAGCCTACCAGAAATAACTGCAATATTTGTTTGTTTTTCATTAAACTTATTTTTTACTAAATTCACAAGATGTTTCTAAAAAGAATCTAAAATTAGTAAAAATCTTAGATTATTTAATAAATTGCTTTGAGTCTATATATTCTCAATCTACCAGAATATTTCTTGTTCATTACACCATCCTTTATCATTTACACGAATAAAAATTCCTTCAGGAAATGATTTTCTTAAAATATTTTTAAGTTTGAAAATACAAATTGCTAATAATTTTGTACTATCAGCCATACATTCTAAAATAACTGTGAAGTTTGACTTTCGTAACCTGTTATTTGTATATTAATAGTTGAAGTATTATAATGATCTAAAGTAGTTAAATAAGATAAATCAAATGTAACAGGAGTTTCATCTATATTACTAATGTATTTTAATGGATAGTCATATTGGATGTGCTTATATAAAATAAAAGTTAAAAAGTTTTGCTGCTTTTCTAAAAGATTTTCAAGAAAATATTGAGTAATATGAGTTTTTCTTCTTGTAACAAAATTGTATCTTTTTATAAATCCCTCTAACTATGCTTCTGAAAATTTAAATTCTTTAATATCTGCATAAAGATCTATCCATTTTTTTTTATTAGCAAATAATTTTGCTTTTCTAACTATCATATTTCATGTAACAGCTTTTGCAGCTTTACGCAGATCAATTACCTATAAAGAAAGCTCTTTTTTAAGTTCTGAAAAAGCTGAACTTTTACCTTTATATAATTTTTAAATATATGGTACTGCATTTTCAAATTTAGTTTTTTGATTTATCTAGTCTCAAACTTGCTTTAATTCTATTTGAAATTATTTTGCAATTAAACGCTTACTTTCACATTGTTTTGCATGTTTTATTACAAGTAACTTTTCTCTAGCACACCATTATCTTCTTTGATTTGTTATTACTCTTGTTCTTTTATTAGCAGGTTTATTTCAGTAAACAATCATATCAAAAAAATGAAAAGGGAAAGATAAAAAATAAAAGTTAAAATGTGAAATATGAAATGAAAAAAAAGGTTTTAAAATACGCTTTATGATATATCATTTTAGTTATAAAATGATCAGTGATAAATGATAAAATCATTGTAAATTCTTAAATTACATTTGAAAAAAAATTTCATTTAAAAAAAAATAAAATTTTCAGTTAAAAAAATTTTTTAAATACTAATTCATGCTATATGCATACAAATATTTAAACTTCTTATTAGTTAATTTAATTTCAAATAGTAGACCTTATATGGTATAGCATAGTACTCTCCCTCTTAGATCAAAGTACTCCTGTAGTATAGTATCTTTCTAACTTTACGAATTGGTAAAATACTCAGATACTTTAGTCAACCATTTACGGTAACTGTTATTTTATGATATATTTCTCATAATGTATCAATTATATGATATTTAGAAATAATTAACTTAAATGAACTTAATGTTAAAACTATTACCTTAAACTTAAGGAATTTTATTTTTGCTAAAGGGTTAAAAATAGAGAATTTATTGCATTTTTGTAGTGATATAGTCACTACATTAATTGAAAAAAATACAGACGTCATTAAACAATTTCAGGAGATTAATCTTTTCATTACATCTATGAATTGTATTGCATATAGATTACATTTAGCTGAAAAGGATGCAGTAAAAGATGTTCTTTATTTCAACCATTATGAATATATTATTAAAAAATTATATAACTATTTCTCAAGTTCTTATTGATATATGCAAAATTTAAAGATAATACAAGATGTATTAGAAGATCCTTAGCTAGCTATATTTAATATAGTTAATATAAGATGGTTATCAATATCGAATAGTGTAAAAAATTTACATCAAATATTAGATTCAATAATTGATACTTTATGTTTTAATATTAAATTTAATAAAAAAAGTTATTTGGCTAAAGATTTACTTGATAAATTAAATAGTAATTTTATCATTTTTACTAAATATCTTGCAGATTTAATATATATCTTAATGAAATTAATTAATATATTTCAAAAAGAATATATAAGTTTCTCAGATATCAAAATTTATTTGAATACAATATATGATGTAATAACTGCCCAATTTTTTAGTATTAATAAATCTACTCACTCATTTATATAGAATTCATTTATGAAAATACATGCAAAACTTTTGTATTTTGCCAAAAAGTTTGCCTTCATTTATTAAAAGTTTTTCTGAAGCAATTATTGATAATATAAAATCAAAATTTTCTCAATCTAGTTTATATTATTCTTTTCGCATATTTGATTTAAAACTATTACTTATAAAAGAAAGTGTACAAGTAAATTATGATAATGAAGAAATCAAAAAAATTTCTGATTATTATGGAATAAATAAAATAGATAGTGAAGGAAATACAATAGAAAAAGTAATTAATAGTGATGATGTAAAACAGGAATAGGTAGTAGCAAAGTATTATATAAAACAAATAAGAGACCAAGATGCAATTAGAGGATAGGAATACATTTTTAATATATATTCAGATTTTTCAAATGAGTTTTTAAATATTACTAAATTAGTTAATATATCATTAATTATTCTTTTATTTAATGCATAAATTGAAAGAATATTTTTACAGTATAAACTTATTAAAACTCAGCTAAAAAACTGAATGAATACTGAATTATTAAATAACATTTAATGATTTTACTTAATGGATCTAATAATTTTTGTAAGTTTGATTAGAATAAAGTATATAATTATTAGGCAATGAAGGTATATTGATCAAATTAAAGATCATATAATAATATATTATTAATGAAAAATTGTAATTATTAAATATTTTTTATTCTAATTTATTTTTTACATTTTTTTTTTATAATTTTATTTAATATTACTATATGAATTTTATAAAAAAAAAATAATATTCAATACTAAAATAAAGTTATCAGAATTAAAGTTATGTAATAAAATTACTAGTAAATATTAGCAAAGTTAAATAAATTTTAGTTTATAATATAATGTATATGGTATTCTAAAGAAAAATCAAGTAATAATATTTTATAATTTTATATATCAAATAAAAAGTTAATTTGTTAAAATCTATAATTCTGAATTGAATAAAAAATGAAAGCCAGTATAAAATAAATTAAAACGAATAAAAAATGTGATTAAATCTAATAAAATCAAATTGAATAAAATGAAACTAAATAAAAGATGTTAAATCCTAGTATAAATGAATTGAATAAAACAAATAATATAAAATAGATAATTAAATTCCAGTACAAATAAATTAACAAAAAAATCTAAATAATAAAAAGGGTCAAGAAAAGGATTTAATAAAATTAAAGATAAAAATCAATGACCTACTTAGCTTCAAATGTAGCTCTTCAAATGTAATATTTGCAAAATAAAGAAGAATTTAATGAAATCAAAGATGAAAATCTAACAAAATCGTTATTGATAATCAATATAGCCTCAAATGTAACTTATTATTTATTAACTCAATACATCAAATGTAATATTTATAAAATAGAGAAGAATCCAACGAAATTAAAAAAATTGAATGAAATTATTATTAATGATTTAAATTCCAAATTTTCACCAAAATGGCCTAGTGAAATCAAAGAAGCTAATAAAAATATATAACATATTTCCTATCCTTCTTTATTCATTTTATGTCAAGTTATAGATCAAGCAAAGAAAATAAAAAGAAAATTTTGATTATTTTGTAAATTGTATTATTATATCAATTAATCACATAACCAAAAAAGAACTATTAGTAAATTACATTTTAATAGCAAATAAGAAATATCACACTGTAATTTTATTGTAATTAGATGCAGATGTATCATAAAGGAGAAGCTATGCATAATTTATTTATATGACGTACAGTAAAATTTTAGATTGTGTATCTTTTGCACAGTAATTTTTTATTAAAAAATAAATAATAAGTCTGATGCTAGCTTTCTTATTTTAAAATTATATTTTATGACACAATAGCTCAGAAAAAATATATAATATATCAATCTGATATTAGAGTTTATTTATTATAATTATTATATCAATTTTCCATTTTAGAAATCAAAATCAAATAAATTTTAATTATATGAAACCAATTTAAATTATTTGATTAAATTCCAGTTTTTTTTGTAATATACTATATGTTATGATAAATATTTTATTAAAAATATAATATATAATAATTAATATTTAATATATAATTAATTACAAATAAAATTAGTATCAAATAAAAATTAATTATTATAAAAATTATAATTATTGATTATTTGAAGTATAGTAAAAGATAATCAAATACTAGGCATATTAAATGTAATGTCATTCTGTTCTACATATTGATCATCTAATAGAATTCTGTGTTGTATGTTATGTCATGCATATTTTACAAAAATTAAACATAAATATTGACAAATTATAATTTTTATTATAAATATTATCTGAAATTATACTTTAGACTAGAATAATTATTATTTTCTAGTTTTATTAAAATAAAAATAAGAATTATAATAAAATATTTATATATATTTATAAATATAAAATAAAAATTCTTTTAACTAATAAGATTTTGATATAATAAACTATTTAAATTAAAATTTTTTTTTCATTATAATCAATAATTTTTAGTTTAATAATGATTTATACTTATTATATTTTTATCAATTCAGCTAAATTTTATTATGAAATTTTTAATATGTATTTTGTTATTATTAAGTTTATACTATCTATTATTTTTTATATCAATAATATCATTTTTATTTACTTTATAAAATTCTTTTTTTATTATCATCTATAATTTCATCTAATTCAATTTTCTTTAAATATATATCTTAAATAGTATTATAAATATTATTATTATTTATATTTTAAGCAAAAAATTTTAACATTTGAAATATAATAAATATGAAATTTTAGCTAGATTTTTAATATTTA